TCATAATGATCACTCGAATTGTTCAGATGATAATAAATTCTTCTAAATTTGAAACTCATGACTAGCTTAACCGACAGATCTATAAGATCAAGATAGTGCGTCAATAAGCAAGAATCAAGGTAACCGATGAATAATTATGAGCAGAATAGTATGCTTTAAAATCTGTGTTGACTGAGTGCATGAACTTTTACTTTTATTTGAATAACTTTTCGGCAAGTTCAGTTCAATCTGATAAGGCTAAGTGTCGATTTGATTGTGATAGAGATACATTACAGTTTGTTGCAATTCATTATTATTATGATTCGTTCCTTGCAGTTTGAGTAGAACATAGAGACTCAGCAGTACATCTCCATAGAACTCGTTTCTTTGGAATACTTTCTACCTGACTTCCCACAAGCCTTAATTTTCTTCCAACGAGAAGTCCTCCACTTCAATGTTAGACACTGAGCTCACTGCTTCCACTCAACACTCTGGATGTCACTTAACGCCTATCTATCTTTATGCAGATTTGTTAAGAAATAAGTTCCTGATTGGTTCATTGCCAGTTTCTTGTTACTTATCGTTTTCCTCTTACCGTCTAATCTACATCACCCAGTCAATGAAGTTATATATTGACAAATTCTGCAGTAATCTGTTGGAAACGCTTTCTTTGACCCGTATGCAAAGTTCAGAATATTGTTTTGTTTTTTTTTGCTGAGTGCTGTAATGTGGCTCTCTACACCAACTTTAAACCAATTAAGGCCACATGAGTCAGCAAAGAGGTGATTTCCTTGTAACTTCTCTTCAGAGCTGTTGAGTTATTTCAGGGTTTGTTGACATCAGTGTGTGTGAGAAATGACAATGTATGAATAACAGTGGATAACCCCTGTAAGTTAATGGCCAATTAGTTAAATGATACACAGTCATTAGAAAACAACTGATACGAAGCAAGAGAACGAAGAACAAATATATTTTTTTTAAACAAAAAGACTATATAGAGCTTATTATGCAACAAATCAGGAAGATAAAGTTGATGCTAAAGCCATGGCAGCAAAAGAGGCTGGATAAAACGTATCTAAACATCAAGTTTAGCTTTTTCTTCATGGATTTCTAGATCTATGGTTGCATGAAGAAGTAAGCGGAGTCCTTTTCAACAGCTTGATTTCACTTCATATACGACTCTGATTGAGGTCTCTGCTGAATCTTCGAAACCACAAGTAATAATGCACCCTAGAAATGAGGTGTTCACCATGCTGGTATATCACTGAATTTATACCATATATGCCACAATTCACCTGTGAAATTCATATATCTAGGGGTCATTTTGTCAGTTCAGTGTATAGTCTCCACGATCTAATGCATGAATCAGTTTGCCAGAATTATGAAGATTATCAATGATGGTAGGCAATCATTTCTTCCTCCTATCTTCACATCAAATGCTTCGGTGAGCTTTTCACTGTGAATGGCTTAGCATACTGTATCGTTCGTCATACAGCTGTTGAGTGAGGCTTTATAAAGCTTTTGTGGTACATGAATTTGTGATTCGGTTGATTGCTACAGTTTTTGTCGGGAAGTCAAACTTTGTATTCCAACGCCTTCCTAACACAAACGGCTTCCATACCTCCATCCAGAAGCCTTCAGTTAGCTGGAGACTGATTTTTAGATTAGGGGCTTCGGGTCTGATTCCTGATTGGATGGTGGGTGCGCACTTCCGAAGAGTCTCAAAACTGGATGAAACAGCCGTGCTGGTTGGTTTTTAATGATCTATCTACCTTGGGCTATTTCGGGACAAAATACTGAGGTTTGTTTCAGTTTATGGTGTTATTTGTCTCGTTAGAAAAAATCATCTGAATATTATTTGATATTTTGAACTGAAATAAATTTCAGTTGAATTAACAATCACCAACTTTACTTCATCATCTATGCATAGACATTCTTCACATTGCTCTAACAGTAGCTAGTATTTTCATACATTTTTTAAAAAGAAGTAAATTAATGATTTTTGTCTCACATGTTTTTTCTCACGTCAATCATTCATTGTCTACGTGTTTTAGCTATTTCTGTTTTCTTGTCATTTTTATTTATTATGATGTTTTTAAAAAAAATTGTTTACTCTATGATTTGCTTTCTAGTAAAAAAAAACCTCTGAAGAGAAGTTTCTGCTAGGTGTACTCCACTAAGACTTTATCATTCATCTAATAGTGGTCTTATATTTTCTTTTGTAATTGGAGGTTAAATGGCACACAACAGTAGGGCGTCAAAGGAACTGACACCCTGTCAGAGATTCGGAACTGTGTTATCTGGTGAGGCGATCAGATATTTCACCATTGGGCAGTTTGGTCTGTAGCACTGTAATGGACACAGAGGTTGGTCAGCTGAGATTAACGAGTAGCATGTATATGTCTTAGTGACGAGTAAGGAATTCATTTCTGCGTCAACTGAAGTCTGATTTTTCTTACATACCGTTTGTTTAGATAAGTCATTAGGAAGATCAATATTGTGAGATGATGTTACTTCGTAGTTTCCTTACGATCACTTTACAACTGCCAAGGTTCACAATAATAAAATAAAATATTTGACAATTATGTATAATAAAAGTGCATATTGAAAATCAGTCGTATTTTTGCAGGTCAGGGTGTTTATGGTAGGCAAGTATTGAAGTCATTTGTTTTTTATATACATCTGCACGGGTAACAGTGTACACATTCTGTTTTTTTGGTTAGTGGATATCCTGAAAACTTTATTGTATACCACAATAAAGAGGGATTTCCCCTTAAAAAAGCAACTTACGTCTTTATTCAGCTAACATACAAGGAGGATGAAATCATACAACCTGAGGGCTCACAGGTTTCGGTCAACTATCAAGCAATCTCGAAGATTTTCAATTCCTGTGTCTATGTAGTTCTATGGACTCAACTTTATATTGTATCTACAAGTTCACCTGCAGTTACAGGAACACAAATGTAGACAGAGCCAATAAAATGTTCCAATGTTGTCGGAAGGAACATTTTCCTGAATAGTTATTAAGTCTTACGGAAAATCAATTGAAGTTCATCTGAAAAGAAGTTGAGAAGCATGCATTATAAACCATTTATTAATGTCTCATTACAAAATCAACATGAATGACTGTTTCTCAATTCTTTCACATAAATTTAACTTAAGGTTGCTACAGTTGACGGAAGCATTTCCGATTAATCGCATGCATCCCAAACCATGTCTACAGAAGGCAGAAGTATCGTATAGTTATTCGCAAATGGCTATTAAAATAATATTTCAAGCTGTAAATGATTACTGAAAAATCAAATATCTAATCGACTTAGTCACAATTTCTCCTCTTTTAGGCTTTATTAGTAAAAGAAGTCAATATTTATTTTGAGAATGTATCATACAGACACATTGAAATCACCGGGTTGCCTACCTTCAAAAGACACACACACACACAGATCTTTATTTGATGAATGTATCAGATAACCAATTCCGACTCTAGGTAAACTTTCCGACAAATACTAACAATCCGGTCACCTGGGCTGACAGTTTTTCACTCGATTAGTTCTTATATTAATATTCTCTTAAGTTTGTTTTTAGGGAGCGCCACCTACACTATTGAAGCACGTCTCTTGTAATCAGACTTGTTTAGCTTGATACAAATAAGACTTATCCCCTTTTTTAACTGTTTCGAACTCGGCTGCCAAGTTTAGTATTTCAGTTGCTAGAGTGAAACGTTTTGTTGTTGTCTCCAGACATTTCTTCATTCAAACCATAGGGTTCTACCAGTTCGCTTCATTTAGTACTTAAGGCAAATTTTGCGACTTCGACCAGAATTGGAGGGCTGATAACCACATCTTATTCAGGCCTCAGTGGCAGATGCCAGCACCGCAAATATATGCCAGTTAGACTGTTCCTCGTAGACTTAGCCATCTGTCCTAAAACGTTTTTAGAAATCTGTCACCCTTCCAAAGATCGTTTTTCCTAAAGAGCCTAAGCAGACATATTGTGTTCAAGACATATTGAGAACGATTTTGAACTGTGTCACAAAGAATCACCAAACGTTGATTTGGTGTAAGCAGAGAAACTCGCAACTCAGTATTGTACTTCATTCAGATGAGCTTTGTGAAGGCTTCACGTAAACACCTTACTATGGCTATTGTACATACCATCCAAATAGTAAATGATATAACATCAGAAAGTAAGAGGAAGCGATAAAAATATCTTATTCAAAATAAAAGTCAGGCTATGCAGCAAATTATTTTTAAGGCAATTTTTGATCTTTTGATGCTATACAATAGTCCGGTTTATTAACCAGTCCCAAGCGCGGAAAAGGAGAAAGCGTTTACCGTGGGGCTAACATCCCTAACCCGCAAAAACAACACAGATATTTATAATTCAAACAATTGGAGATAATATAGAAAATAAACATATTCGTCGCTTATACCAGGGATCAAAGATGATGAGCCGTAGTACTGCCACATAAGGAAGTAAGGTCAAAGGCCTTACGTAGTATTCTCGATGACGCTGGAATTAGGTTGGCATTTAAACCAACCGACGAACTCTCTCAGAGATAAACTTTGTCCGGTTAAGGACCTAATATATCCAATTAAGGAGAATAATATAATTTACCGAATGGCATATAAAGACTGTGAGGTCAGTTACATAGGTCAGACTAGTAAATCCACGTCAACTAGATTATTGGAACATAAGAATTTAGCTAGACCTAGAATAATTCACTCTGCTACGTTAAATAAACTAGGAGAAGGCTCAGCCATTGAATTGCATTCACTTGCATAAGATCACAAAATAGTTTGGGACAGAGTGAGAGAGAAGTTAGTCACTGAAGCTTTCTTTATCGATTCAATACCACACACGTGCAATCGGAACGACTCAAAGCGTATACCAAAGATATGGAAAGTGGCAACGAACAACAAAGGGAAGTTGAAGAGACAGAACAGAGAGAAAAATATATAAGACAAATTTTGAAACCGTGTAACTAAAATTGATATGATTATGAGCAACAGATTGTCCTGGAAACGTCATCCAGTTGTTAATACTGCGCCATCGATGTGTGATATTTAAAATAACCTTATCTAATATAGAATATCAAATGTGTAAATACCTGTATCATCATTATCTAAATTTTTTATTGAGGCGCAAAAAAGCAAATGAGAATTATATTATTAAAATAACAATAGAATAAATTACAACTCGATGCGAATGAATCTCTCAACAACAAAACCTTGAGAGACAGAGAGAGAGAGAAAATATTTCACATGTAAATCAAACAATGAAGGGGAAGGCGAAGTAAAAGAAAAGAAAAAGTTCATGTCCCCAAAAACACAACAATAAAGAAGTGATAAATGACAAATGAGATGAGTTTCAAACACACACATACACACACACAATGAAGACTACAACTATTCTGTTTACATGTTTCTAACCATATTTAAGCAAAGCACGAAATGAAAAGAAGAAACAACAAACATTGAAATGAATGAAGAAAATAATTTCTAGTAAAAACTATCTCTGAATGACAGACACACTGTGTTATTTAAATTGTTTCACAAGTGTCTAACTTTACTCATTGCTGCAAAACGCGAATTTGGATTTTTCAATAAATCTTGTGGATGTCCTGTTTCAACGACTCGGCCATGATCCAATACAACAATTCTGTAAGAAAGTTGAAATAGAAAGATATAAGACATTTTATAGGAATTCCAGGTGTTTGATGAGTTTAATACACATTTCATTCGACTATCCCAGTAGCTGAACTTGAGCATTTTACACTATTCATAATTTTTTACCTACTTGTCGAATGCCTAAACAGAGCACAATAACTTGAATGGTACTATGCTTCATTAAATACATCTAAAACCCGACCGAAAGCTGCTACCTTGACGTGGTGGTCGGCTTGAACACCGCAATGATCTATTCAAGCTATACTGGCTGAGACTTATGTCTCTTGAGGTCCTACCATGCCAGGCAGGTTGTTTGGATAACGGTTAAACAAAAAGCAGCTACCCAATCCAACAACATGATAAATACAAAATCACAAAATTTCATTCCGGATCGGCCGTGGCCCGGGTTAACAACGACCGCGCTTCCTGCTTCCGTGTCACAGGGTAGGAGTGGTAAATATGCTACTGAGACACACAAAACAATAACAAACAAAGAAAAGCAGGCCGCGTGTGACCGGCCTCAAGCAGTTGTCCCCTGGGCTCTGCGGTCACGCAACCAACTTCCACGGTGTGGGCAGCCGGGAAGTAACAATCGCCCTCACAATCCGAAATGCATACGAAACCTCTCTATTACTCTCTAAATACACCTAAAAAGTCATAAAGCAAATATCTGTCTCAGAGAGGAAACAAAGTTTATTTATCGTCTTACTTGTAAGAATCGAAAAAAAGAAACTAAAAGACATCAAAATTAGATAAAACTAAAGATACACAAAATATACAACTTATAATATCATCGAATCTTGTGGTAGCTACTGATACCGCACTTTTCTATCCATATAGATTCATACACAAGGGTATGCGTCAGACATATTGTGTGAGCATTGATGATACTACTACTACTACCTAAGCCGGTGTCCCAATGGCTGGCCCGTATAGATGCATTAAATATTACAGGTCATTTATGAAAAATAAAATGTATAAGATCTACAAACTTCATGAAAAATATAGTGTTGACAAGATTATTGCACATGCCGACTGCATATTACTTCAATTATTTATAATATGCATAACAGTATGCTTTTTAACAGTTAGTCACGGATTGATATCAGTTAGAGAACCATTGAAAACCAGGGAGTACTGAACAACTGTTGTTTCATCCTAGTTTGGGAATTATCGGCAGTACGTATCCACTGGGATTCGAACCCAGGACCTTCCGGTTACAAGGCAAGCTCGTATACCATTCAGCCACTGGGACCCGATTCAATTGCTCATGAATACTAACTTCCAGCAATTCGTGATTTAGCGCGACCCGGAAGGTCCTGGGTTCGAATCCCAGTGGATGCGTACTGCCGATGATTCCCAAACTAGGATGAAACAACAGCTGTCCAGTACTCCCTGGTTTCCAATGGTTCTCTAAATGATATCAATCCTTGATCAACTCTTAAAAATATAACTAAAACATAACTAACCCTTACAAACCAAACTATAGAAAATTAATAATATGCACTTTGAAAAATTTAGACCTAAAAAAAGCAGAAAACTTTAAAACTTTCTTTTAATACATAAATACAGAGGCATGATACAAATGCCAATAAACACGAGTGACTAAACCAGACCAACCTGTCTGTATTCATCACAGTAGATAATCGATGTGCAATTATGATGACAGTGGCATCTTTAAAACGATCTCCAACAACAGTATTCATCACTAAATCATCTGTACACGGATCCATGGCTGCTGTAGCTTCATCAAGAATAAGCAAACGAACACGACCACCAGAAGATAAGAAAACTCGAGCCAAACAAACAAGTTGTCGTTGACCAGCCTTTAAGGGAATAAAAATATGAAGTGAGAAAAGAATCACAAAAATCCTAGTTATGGAGAGATTGTAATTCAAGAACAATCGACTAAAAAATTGCCAAATGGTATTAGACCAACTTGAAGTTAACGCTTCATACTTGTACATACTTGCACTTGAATACAAAATAACATTACGTCAATCAACTTTAATAATCATAGAACAGAAAGTTAAGTAGTGTGATGCACTGATGTTGTATATCTGATAGGAAATAAGACACAGAAGAGAAACAACAATGTTTCCGCATAGATCATCTCCATGTACACTCTAATATACATATCTTCATGTAAATATTAGTAAACAGACTTCCTTCTTGATTATTTGTCGATAAGCCAATAAGATGGGCTATAAACTGTATAGTCAGTCATAATAATTAATAATGATAATAACAAAACAGTATTAGTCATTAGTGATTTCCACACAGCATTATTTTGTCAATCTTTTCTTATCTGTATTATATCTTCATTTAAATATTGTTTGCATACTTCGTTTGAACTTTAGTAATGTACAATTCTTATTATTGGCCTCACCAACTGCATTCTGCCGAGACAGTTTGAACTTTTGTTCATAACATAATTTCACTGTTTTTATTATCATATCATTATCATCATATTTTTGTTATTTCACTACTACTGTCAACAGTATTGTCGTTACCATTATTATACTGCCTAAAACTAATTAGACAATTCACTAAAAAAATGATGTATAACTGATATATACATGTGAATTTATATATATATTGAAGTAAACCTTATAACCATCTAACTAAAAATGTTGCTCTTCAAAAGGTGACTAAAGGCGGAATTCGCATACCTTAAAAAATATTGCTGAAAGCAATACTGTTCTGTTATATGTTTAGTTACAACTCTTACTATAGGAATCATTGTCTGTCTGTCTGTTTTCGACATAGAACTATGCACATATGTGCGGATGTTCAAGTCGCCACACTCCCTCTTTGTAGCACGCAAAGCAAGAGAAGAAAGTACAAGAAAAGCATAACACAGACAGTAAGCAGAGGTGTGAGACAAAGGAAGAGTAATAACGAAGAACAAAACATTTTCATTGAAAATCATAGGTCACAAGGAGTGGATGCATCTGCGCCATTGAGAAAGATTTTGAGCCACATCACTAATTATCTCCACCCATTGGGTTTTACCGTCCCGAGGACCCCAACCACGAAGTCTACATCTTCTTACGTGGCTTAAACTAACTATTGTGGATTTCATTGACTGGTGCCATGTTTTTGATTGACCTCCGCTAGCTCTTTACCAGCCTGACCCTATATCAGCTAACATTACCCGTCGAGGAAGGCGATGACTAGGCATGCATACGTAACACATATCCTAACCATCTCAGTCTTTGTAGCTTCACGACTTCGTCGATTGATTTCCTCTGTTCACCTAGAACTCGACCGACGCCTAATCTCAATATTGCTCACATTGTTTTACCACTTCACACGGGAGATAGAACGCAGGCACCTATGATCAAAGACAGCTAATCTTTTCATGTCTTCCACTCTCAGCAGCCAGGTCTCACAGCCGGCCATAAAGGAGGACGGAGCGGACTGATGAGCAGTACACCCGCCCTTTGGTCGATAGTCGGATATCTCGTCTACGCCAGAGTCGGCGTAAACTGGGATATGCGAAACTAGCCGCCTGTATCCGTTCTGAGATTTCGTCACATATCAACTCGTCGGCACTGGCTGATGGTACTTCCCAAATAAGTGAAGTGGTCAACCTGCTCTACCACTTCACTTCCTACTTCTAAACTAGGCGTCGATGTAGTCCAGTCCTGTAACATCATCTTGCATTTGGCGGGAGCAAATCGCATGCCAAACATTCGTAGATTGCAGCTCAATTGCAGGAATCATTGAGATATCTTCGATAGAGTACTAACTCTTTAAATTACTGAAAGCATTTGTTTAAGTGAACCACGCATTGAAACTTTTGAATTGACGTCGGAAACAAGCGGTTACGGAGAAGAGTAAATATGTAGCGTATGCTGCTGATAAGATTTATCAGTAGTGTACAAAGAAACGTACATCGGCATTAAAATATCAGGAGTTGGTTTGTAAGGATTAGATTAATTTTTATTGAGTTCAACCATGGATTGATATCAGTTAGAGAACCAGTGAAAGCCAGGGAGTACTGAACATCTGCCGTTTTATCCTAGTTTGAGAATCATAGGCAGTACTTACATACTTTACTTTACTTCGGCTATCTCCTACGGGAGGATGAGCCAGCTTCATGAACATCTCGAATCATCGCCGCCCAGGCGCGGCGATCTGATGCAAGGTTTTGCGACAGAGCTATCCAATTCTTGTTCCACAGACGGAGACCGTAGACGGTTTGTAGCCCCAGGCACTCCATATCAGACTTTACTGTACCAAGCCATGTTTTCAGCTGTCCACCCCTGCAACATCGCCAAGATGGAAATGGCGAGGGATTTAGAACTGATATGAGCAGGTCGTCATCTGGTCGGCGCAGAACATGGGCAAACCACCGAAGGCGACATAGAACTTGGCACCGAAGTGCACCAGTTCGAGTTGCCACGTTCCAAATACCACACAAAGGTAGACAAGAAGATGAGTGAAGAGAATCAATAGAGTTTGACAAGTATGCGAGTGAAACAGAATGGGTAATGGTAGAAAGGAATATGAAAGATTACAGAGATTGAATACATCTGCGCTGGCCATTGACAACGATTTTGAGCCATGTCACCTATTGTCTCCAGCCATTGATTCCTAGAGTCCCGAGGGCCCCAACCCGGGAGTCTGCATCTCCCTACCTGACTCAGTTTAACTGTCAAGGATTTCATGGATTGATGCCATGTTTTTGTTTGGCCACCACTGGCTCTTTTCCAACCTACACCTATATCAGCTAGTAATGCCCGTCGGGGGAGGCGGTGGTTAGGCATGCGCAGCACGTGACCTAGCCATCTTAGTCTATGTAACTTTATAGCCTCGTCGATTGATTTTCCCTCTTTGCCCAACACTCTACGCCTAACGTCAACATTACTTACCTTATTAAACCACCTAACGTGAGACAGAGATCGCAGACATCTATGATCGAAAGCAGTCAACCTTTTCATGTCTTCAACGCGTATTGGCCATGTTTCAGAGCCATAGAGAAGGACGGAGCGAACTGATGAGCAGTACACACGTCCCTTGGTTGATAACCGGATGTCACGCCTACGCCAAAGATGGTGTAAGTCAGCGAAAGCAGCTCGAGCTTTTCGGATCCGTGCTGAGATTTCATCGCCAATCAGTCCGTTGGTGCTAATACAACTTCCCAAATAGGTGAAGTGGTCAACATGTTCTATCACTTCACTCCCTATCACTAAGTTAGGAGTTGACGTAGTCCAGTCCTGTAGCAGCATCTTACATTTTGCAGGGGCGAATCGCATGCCAAACATACGAAGATTGCTGCTCAAGGTGTTCAGAAGACTCTGCATTTTGTCAGCATCCTCCCCTAACAGGACTATGTCATCTGCATATTCTAAGTCCATAAGACTATTCCCTGGTAACAAGTCGATTCCTAAGTCGTTACGTTCAGTTAAGGATACTTCCATCAGCATATCTATGATGAAGTTAAACAGAAATGGGGAAAGTGGACATCCCTGTCGGACACCACTGGTTGTTACCAATTCAGATGACAATTCCCCATAAGCCCTTACACGACTACGTGAGTTTGAATAGAGTGCCTTGATTAGTGCAATGTACTTTCTTGGCACTCCCTTCACAGTCAGACATTGCCATAGTACCTTTCGATCCACGGAGTCGAAGGCCGCCTTCAAGTCAAGAAATATGACAATTGTTGGACGCCGAAAAGTGTGTCTATGTTCTAGAATCTGTCGAAGAGTGAAGATATGATCTATGCACCCTCTACCTGGTCTAAAGCCTGCTTGATTTTCCCTTGTCTGTTCCTCCCGAGTTCTGCTTAGTCTATGCATGATTACTGAGCCTAGGATTTTAGAGACTATGTTCGTTAGGCTGATCCCCTATGATTATCACACGAGGACTTGTTTCCCTTCTTGAATATCGGTATAATAAGTGACTTACCCCAGTCTGATGGAACTGTCTCTGATTCCCAGACTTTGCCTAGTACCTCAGTTAATCTACAAACTAGTATGTCACCCCCATATTTAAACACCTCCGGAATAATTCCGTCGGGTCCTGCCGCTTTGCCTCGTTTCAAATTACTGATAGCTTTTGTGACCTCACTTACAGACGGCGGACCAGTGTCTATATCCCATTCGGGTATGTGCTGGATGTCGGGGAGGTTCAGTGTGGCTGTAGGCAAGTTAAATTGCTCCTCAAAGTGTTCTTTCCAGCGTTCAAGGCGTCTATCCTGAGAGCTAATTAAAGAGCCATTTTTCTCAGAAATAGTTTCACTTATGATTTGCCTTTTGCCACCCATTTCCCTGATGAGTCTAAAGAGTTGCCTAGTGTTGCCTATCGCCGATGCTTTTTCCATCTCTTTCGCCTTTGTCACCCACCACTGTTCACGGTCCGTGCGGAGACTTTTCGTAAGTTTCCTTTTGTGCAGCTTTCGCTCCTCATTGAATTCGGAGCTCGCCGGAATAAGTCTTCTAGCATCTATCAGTTCGGATGAGGCAGTCGAAATCCAGTGGTTTTTACTCACCTTTGGATTTACCTTGTTCACAGCTTTTACAGCTGTATCTATGGCTGACTGAATATTCTTCCAGGCTTCTTCAGGGTGAGCACAGCTGTCGAACACAGATATGTGTTTAGCTAGTTCTTCCTCAAATAGGGATTTAGTTTCCTGATCGAGCTGAGGATGTGATGGTTTTACCGCCAGCTGTTTCCTACGTCCGTTCAGTCGTAAGCACACACAAGTGCGGACCAGTGCGTGATCGGTATCTACACACGTGTTCCAGAAGGAGCGACAATCTCCTACCGACCCACGCCAACGATAGCTTATTGCTATGTGGTCTATTTGTGTCCA